TGGGGTGTGCTGATACTCCTGCTGGGACTTAGAACATCCAGATGTTTCTGGCTAGAAGGATTTGCTCCTTTTCTCTGGGTCATACCAATTACCATGTCTGGGATCAGGAAGGAATTTTACCCCACAGTCAGATTAGCACAGGCTGCGGGGATTTTCACTTTTCTCTGTAGTAGGGGCATGACCATCTTCCTTTTATCTCTTGAGCATATTTTAAACTACATCAGTAACAAAACAGTGACAGGGCCCTCATCTCCCTGCTTACTTATGGCAAGTTAAAGGATGTTTTTGATGTTTTGGGGGGTTAGGCCTGGTAGCAGTGTGACAAGGCTGTTAAGAACAGGTTAGAAAAACAATTGCATGGGTTGCTTTAGACAGGGATGATCCTGCCTTGAACAGCAGGTTGTACTAGATGACCTTCTGAAGTCCCTTCCAGCTCTACTTTTCTATGCTTCTATCTAGGTACCCACTTCTCTTCCTCATTGGCCCTCAGAAGTTTGTTCTATTTATCTTCGAGCCATTTTTTGTAAACAGCAGGAAGGTCATGTGATACACAAGCTCCAAATATCTAATAAACTTGGATTTACATCTCATTGCACTAGGTATCATCCAAGTGCCACTGTGCTTCAGAGGGATAATTATCATATTTTCTTGCATACATATGCCCCAGAATATAATACGTGCCTTGTTTTTGAAGGGCAGAATGAAGAAAAATAACATTTTTTTCAGAGTCATGTCTGCAACAGAACAGGCACAGAGCTTAATTTTTAGCCAACTCCATTCTCTTTTCTGTTTGATTAAAGCCAAAACTGGCTATTGTTGAAAGACTGGTCTCCATGGGTGGAATCTATGATTTTGAAAAGGGACCATGCAGCTAGCAAATGCCCTAAGAAAGGCTAGCATAATTAGTGGAACATCAAGACCATTAAAAAAAAGAGATAGTTGTTAACACTTCTGGAGTAAAGAACAATGACCCATTAAGTCAACTGACTCCCTTAGCTGCCTGAATAATAATGCAACAGCTACTGCGCTATGGAGCAGGAATCAAAGCAAGTTTCTTCTATCCCAGTCAGAAAATCAGCTTTTTCACAGTTTTGGGGTACTGATTTGATGGGGAAAGTATATGAGAAAATACAGTAATACAAGGAATAGGGGAGAAAATTCTTTTAGGCAGGAGCCAGAAAAGAGAAAAAAGGAAGAATGGAAACTTTGAGGAGCTAGAATTGTACTAAACTTGCTCACGTGTGAACAGAAATGCTCTTCAATCATTCAGGTAGAGTATAGTCTGAGTTCTTTTGGACTCATCTGTGCTCATGCATACTCAAGACGGAGGACTAGCAAAACAGTTATGATCACGTCACAACCAATCTAGGTGTACGCCATTGGCTGTCAGACTTAAATCTAGTTTTCTTCTTTCTTTGGTAAAATCCAAATACAACTGAATTCATGGGGACATTTTAACTGACAGAAACCAGGGTTAAATTCTAGAAAGTAGCAGGGAGATGTGGTTAATAGCCACAGTTTCATACTCAACAGTTAGGGTCAAATCCTTGTTCTGCAGTATAAGCTGTTGAACATGAACAATGAGCTAACTGAAAAAAAACACATTTTTTATTAATGCCATGAGGTGACTATAAAAATGATATCTACAGAACTAACCATTTTACTTAGAGCTCCTGTCATTGCCACAGCCTTAATTAATAACAAAATTATTATGTTGTCTTGATATTAAGGTTAGAAGATAAGCACCATAATGAAAGTCCTGATGTAAGATGTCAATGCCCAAATGCCACCTACTTGCACTCTCCTAAGAGTAATAACCCAAGAGAAACGTAAGTTATATGATTTTATTCTCAGCCTGAAATGCTTGAGGAGAGAATGCATTCTTGATCTATGGAAGTAATTCTAGATAAGACCATATACAACATGTACAACATAACTGAGTCATTAGGAATTTTTTGGTGCTATAAATTTTCTTTTTTTAATTTTCTCCTTGGTACAAAGGATATTATAAGTACCTCCCTAAGCATTTCTACAGTGGTAGAAATGCAAGAGCAGCATAGTCAATTAATTCCTTCATTTGAATAATTAAACATTTTAAATATTCCCTCCCTACCTTATGTTCAGCTATAGATATATTATTAATAGTTAGCTTGTACTTTATGTTGCAATAGAGTGTTAGGCAGATAATTCTTAGAAGGTGGAGAGGGGGACATTATGAATTTACCTGCCCACTGACAAAGTTATCTTGTTGTAATTCATGTCTGTAATAATTTCACTGTACAAATGCTGTACTTCTCTTTCGTTGAAAATTTTTGCACAAAGTTAATTATTTAAAAATCATTATGGATAATGAATCCATCACACTGTGTTCAACAAAAAATGTTAATTGTGCTGTTCACTATTTTTAGATGTTGTGTCATTATTCATCCTAAGAGTTTACTCTGTAAACTCCTATGCAGTCCATTATGTAGGTGCAAGTGCACAGATTAGTATTCTGGACTTCTGTTTTTGAATGAATTTAATCTATGTATGACAATTGCAGGACTAGCTGCACCTCTACCCTCTCTCTGATCTTTGTGAATGCATCATACAGGTATCATATGCCAGGACCTTGCCTCCCCAGGGTTAGACTAATATAATCTTCACATATTTTAGGCTTCATCATCTACTGATTGCACCATGCTTACCCAGCAGGTTTTACTAGACTCAGTACCTGAAGTGCTTCCTTCAGGGACCAGTGAAGCTGTCTCAAATGAAAGTATTGTTTGTTCTTTACTGAAAGAACAAAGTATGATATAATTCAATATGTTCAAATAGCAAACATCACAATAGCCAGATTGATACATTATATTAATAAATTACAGGGAACTAAAACTCTCATATAATTGTATATTTCTAATTAATTTTAGAGTGAGGTATCAGAGGAATGTCTTCTAGGGAACAGGTGCCACCTTGTTAGAAAAGCTTTGCCCCATGACTAAAATAATTTATATTATGAGAATTATTATTAACTTTCCAGGAGCATCAGATGAAGAATGTGCTATACACATCTGTAATGCATTTTCTGAGGACTGTTGTTAATATTTATAGCTATATGATTATCCCATATCCATGCATGCAACTGCCATTGACAATAACAGGAATTCTGCTGTGGATCACAAACATTTTAGGGCCCATGTGTTGTAACCAAAGGGCTGAACTATTGCTAATTTGGAACTGCAAAATAACCCTTATCTGTAGTGCGGAACATAGATATAGATATGGGCAAAGCTTTTCCGCACTACAGATATATATCTATGTTCCACACTATAGATAAGGGGGTGTTTTACAGTTTTAAATTAGCAATGCTTCAGCCCTCTAGTTACAACACAAGGCCCTTAAGATGTTTGTGATCCACAGCAGAATTCCTGTTGTTATCAATGGCAGTTGCATGCATGGATATGGGATAATCATATAGCTATAAATATTAACAACAGTCCTCAGAAAATATCTCTATCTCTATATATTTCTATATAGATATATAGAGAGATATATATCATTAGAGATTTTTTGATAGGTCAATAGATATATATATCTACCAACCTATCAAAAAATCTCTAATAATTTTGGCATTTGGAATGGTCCTATTTAATTAATTGGTTAATCAATTTAGCAGAAAGGGATGGGCAAGACAGATTGAATGATTTTGGTCTGGCTTCAAAACTAGAATTATTAAACAGTTAGGAACACTAGCCCACAACTAGAACATAAGAGTGACATATTTACATTAGGCCTAGAGGTCTTCTACATCAAAGTCTGAGGTCTTCTCTCACTGGTGCCTGGATTCTCAAATCACTGGTATAACTGGTGCCCTCAATTGCTGGGACTTTGCTGAGCACTCTCTGGTCTGGTTCTGGAGTGGTCTGGCCACTGCCAACCAACCATTCAGCACACAGCAGTAACCGTACTCTGCAACTCGACATCTCGTCGACTCTTGGGCGAACAAGCACACAGATGGATCCACGGACATGCTGCATGTGGATTCAGACTTCATCCCTCAGGCACACACTGAGACGCTTCTGTGCTCGGTAACACCCCGCCTTATCATCCTCCAATCGCGTGCTGACAATGCCCGCCAAACATTCAAATTGTTACGCTCTTTCATTCAACACTCACTTTAACCTCAGGCATGTTGCCTCACTCACTTGTCAATCACTCTTAACCACCAAGACTCAATCATTAATTGTACATGCTCATTTGCAGGAAAGGACAGAGGTTGAAAGTTCACCTCTTCTAGGCCTTTCTGAACCATTCACTTCAACTAGGCATGCTTAATAACAGAACAGAGCAAGTATGCAGAAACAAAAACCTGAGGTCTGCATTCCCAGAGATTAAAGCCAGTATGACTGAGTCACAAGGAGGTCCAGTGGCTTCTCTCAGAGACACCCAGTGAGCACATAATTCAGTTTTGAATATAGAGCTTTTCCTCTTCTCAGTCTTTTGCTGTACAGACCACGCTGCCTCGCTACACAATGTGCTACATATGTTTGAAACCAATTGACAACGGCAGAAAAGATCTTTTATGGTTCTGAGTCCATCTGGAAAAATTGTACTTGAATTAATTTGCTGATTTGCCTAATATGCAATGAAAATACTTTTAAAATTATCATCCACCAGCAATGGTAGGATAATATCAAGAAGAAGACAAGTAATGTTTCTATGGGATAAAATCCCATTCTCACTCTATGTTCAGCAACAGTTTTTCAAAGCAAAGCCGATTTTTCTTCATGTGCATTAAAGTCTGTTTTCATCAGAACAGCTTAATTTTATTTGGACATGTACTACAGATTTTAGAAATGTTGTTAGAAAGATATCAGTAATCCTCAGGGTGCTTAAAAAAAAGAAAAAGAAAACAAGGACTATTGAATCTGCAATGGTGAGAGAAAGCTTTAAAAAATTTCAGGGTAGATCCAGTCCCTACAACTGCCTTCACTGATTGCATGTAGGATTCTGGTGCTTACCTTGAGGAGGGTAATGCATCAAACCGTAGCTTCCCCTGCAGCTTTCCTGTATTGAGCCCAGAATGGCACCAGCCCAGGTTGTTGGTGCCATTGTGTCTTGTCTAGATGTCTGACCATCTGTTGTATTTTCAAAGCACTCATCACCTTCCTGTCTGGACATGACATAACCAGTAGATACCTCTCAACCCAAGGTTACTGTGAACATAAGTAGAAGTATAATTAGAGCAGAAGAGGCATAGTACTTCCACTAACTAATAGGAAAATGTTTTGGACTAGATAATGACCAATGATATGCTGCCAATATTTTAATAAAGGACACTAATGAAAAGTGTTTGTGTTCACTGAGAGTGAGGTAAGAGGCTAATCTAGCAAATTGTTTCTCATTGAATGAAAATTGCTTTCTCATAGCTAAGAGCAAGAAACGAGGGGAAAAAACACATGGGAATCAAGTTTACCTAAAGGACAGTTTGCAGGAAATAAGTATACCTTGTTCTTGAAATATGTTTCAGGGTGGTGCACACTAGGAACATCTGCAAATCAGATCTACTGAGTATACTGATATTATAGCAGAGTTAATAACTTGCGTGCTTTTAGTGGATGGATGAGACATTAGGATACATTCTTCTTTCCTTCCCAATGGACTTAAAAAAACCTACTATTTGGTGCAGTCTGGAAAGAGGAATGAAAGACTGACAAAAAAAATCTTTGTAACAAAAAGAAAAACATTCTTTAAAGTCTGTTTCCATTGTCATATTTTTGTTAAAACTAATATTTAAATCCATGTGCAGTCCTGATGATACTTTTGAAATAAAAAAGTACTGTTTCAGAGGATTGCATGTCACAGTTGCTTGTTAAACTTACTTATTAACTATATATTGACATGTACTATGTTAAAAATATAGGTATTGATTTATTTTATTGGGTAATGTCAAGAGTTATTGTTCCTTGTTTGACTCTTGAATGATGATGATAAGATACTTGTCAATCAATCTTGATATTGTTTTAAAAAGGTCAATATCTAAATCACCTATGAGTGACTATTCAATCATCTTTTCTATCAGAACAGTGAGAAACACGGGCCATTATTCTGATCTCTTTTACATTTTTGTTAACTCCAGAGACTCCTGATTCATACTTTTATAAATCAGAATTCATCCCACTGTGTCTTGTTCCTCCTCCTTGGCATTTTCATCTTTTCTTGGACTGCTCATTATATTTGCAGCACTTTCCTCCTTACATGGTAATCCATCTTATTCTGCTCTTTCAAATTCCTCCTCAAAACACACTTCTTCCACAAAGCCTTTTAAAATTTCTCTCTGAAATCTTCTCATACCGTCCTGTTTTCATACCTACATCTAGTGCCCTGTCTGTGTCTGAACTCTGTTTAATAAGCTCTCACTGTGTACACATGCAATTAGTGCTACGTGGATTTACTTTGCAGTAATTCACTGTGAAGAAAACCCACCGTTGGCAGGCATCTACACATTCAGCCATGTGGGAGTACATTTGCTGCTCATGGCAGTAGCCTGCTCCTGGCCGCCTCTGGCCCTGCAGCAGCCAGGGAGGACTGGAGGCTTCAGCCAGAGCTCCTTGTGGCCAGGAGGCCTCATTAAAAGCTAGGCCTGTGCACTGCTCCCTGGCCACCTGCCTTTCAGGCCCAGAGCAGGCTGCGGCATGCTGCCACAGCCCTCTCCAACTCTGTCACCAGAGCCTGTGCCCACCGCGTGATGGCTGCTCCACCCCCAGGCCCCAGAACCAATGACCCATGCCCCCGGCTCCTGCTCACCACCCTGCTCACCACATTTTGCCACTGCGAAGACCGCTGTCCAGCCCAGGTAAGTCTTGGCCTTGCCTGCCCTCATGATACCATGCTGCTGCCACCTGGACCCTGGCAAGGATGCTGACAACATGCATATGGATGCCACCACAGCTGCCATCCATGAGCTCCTGGGGCTCCAGCCCCAACTACCTGTGGGCCTACTGGGCCAGCCAGGACTGGTGGCTGCACATCATCCAGCACATCAGGGATGACAAGCTGTGCCTGAAATCATTTTGCATGACCCGGGCCACCTTCCAGGAGTTCTTTGATCAGCTCCACCTGCACCTGGAGTGGCAGGCCACCACTGTTTCATGTGACCCTGTCTGGGTAATCAAGGAGCAGCTCCCTACTTAATATTTCATAGATTTCATAGACATTTGGGCTGGAAGGGACCCCAGAGGATCATTGAGTCCAGCCCCCTGCCCCAGGGGCAGGAAGTCAGCAGGGCTCACAGGATCCCAGCAAGATAAGCATCCAAATGTGTCTTGTAGGCGTTCAAAGTGGGTACTTGAACTGTCTCTGGCAGCAGTCTATTCCAGACCTTGGGGGCTCGGACAGTGAAGAAGATCTTTCTTATGTCCAGCCTGAATCGGTCGCGGCGGAGTTTGTGACCATTTGATCTTGTTCTCCCTTGGGGTGCTCTGGTAAACAGACGTTCCCCCAGATCTTGATGAGCACCCCTGATAAACTTATAGGTGGCCACCAGATCACCCCTGAGCCTGTGCTTTTCCAGGCTGAAGAGTCCCATGGCTCTCAGCCTCTCCTCATAAGGCCTGTTTTCCTGACCTCTGATTATGCGTGTGGCTCTTCTCTGGACTCTCTCAAGCTTCTCCACATCCTTTTTGAATTGTGGAGCCCAAAACTGGATGCAGTACTCCAGCTGCGGCCTCACCAAGGCCGAGTACAACAGGAGAATGACATCCCGGGATTTGCTTGAGAAGCATCTATGGATGTAAGCCAGCATTTTGCTCGCTTTACTAGCTGCAGCATCACATTGAAGTCTCATGTTCATCTTGTGGTCAATCATGACCCCCAAGTCCCTTTCATCTGTAGTGCTAACCAGCGTAGCACTGCTGAGCCTATAAGCATGCTGCAGGTTTTTCCTCCCAAGGTGGAGAACCTTGCATTTTTCGGCATTGAACACTATCAGGTTCTCATCCGCCCATTTCATGAGCCTGTCATGTCTGCTTTACCGCAGAGTTTGGTGTCATCAACAAACTTGGCCAGTCCACTTCTGACACCAATGTCCACATCATTGATGAAGATGTTAAATAGTATGGGCCCTAGCACAGAGCCTTGAGGGACCCCACTGGTGACCACGCACCAAGACGATTGGCTCTGGTCAACCACCACCCTCTGGGTCCTACTGCAGAGCCAATTCTCCAGCCAGTGGATTGTGGTGAGGTCAATGCCACAGTTAGCTAGTTTAGCCAAGAGGTGATCATGGGATACCAGATCAAAGGCTTTTTTAAAGTCAAGATAAACGTCAATCTCTTCCCCCTTGTCCAGGTGATAGGTCAATATAAAGACAATATAAACAATGTATTTATTATAGCAGTTTCTTACAGAGCTGTTACAGGGCCTGCTGTTCTCCCGCAGCCTCTCTAACTCTCCTCCTCTTCCTGTCTCCTCCCCGTCATGTCCTGTTCCTCCTTCAGACCCCTTCTTTCTGCTGCTGCTGGTTTTGCCTCTGAGATCTATACATATTGTTACATCTTTCCTTTCAATAGTTCAAAACAGATGATTAATTTATTCCTCTGGTTGGGCCTGAGGTTGCTAGCACATAGCCCACCATGGAGACCAAGCCTTTACCGCTGGTCTGCTGTGTTCTTTAGGGCTCACAGTCATCCAGGTATGCTGGTTGTTGTACAAGTCTCCCACTCCTTTTTTGGTTGATTTTTCTGGGTGTTATGCCTGCTTCTGTTCTGTCCATGTCTTTGTTGTGTGGCTGGACTCTGCTTGTGTATCTCTTTCCTTTGTGGAGTCCATGGCGTCTTTCTCCCCTATCTGGAGCTCACTGATGACTGACCAGTTGTCTAAGTTGTCTTGGTCCTGATCCTGGAATCTTTTGCTCACTTGTATTTCCACTCTGCCAGCACTCTGCAGCTGCTTCCGGTTACATCTCAGTCGCTGTCCAATATCTGTGACAACTTCGTAGAATCTATCTCCCACTGCACCCTCAACGGTGGCCTTTTGCCATTCTTTCACATGTGGACTTACTGGTTGTACCCAGACTTTTCCCCTCTGCACAGTGGTCTCAGGTCCCTGGCTCCTTTGTTATACTGTGATACTTGGTGAGACTGTTGCTTTTTTAGCTGCTTCCATGTACTGTCGCCCCTTGCCCCCTGGGGTTGTAGCAAACAGTCTCTCATTGGGAGTAATGTCTTATTTCTCTCATCTTTGGGCTAGGCTACTGTCCATTCCTTGGGAGGAGGTGTTGCAATGGTCCCATAGAGCCAGGTAGGGATCCCCTGCAGTCTTATTTGCCTTCAGCAAGAGTCTCTTGGCTGTCTTTACTGCTGATTCAGCCTTCCCATTGCTTTGTGGGTACCCAGGGGATGATGTCTTGTGCTGGCATTCCCATTTAGCGCAAAACTTTGAATTTTCTTGAGGTGTATTGTGAGCCATTGTCTGAGAACAGTGTTAGGTATCCCATGCCACGCAAAATGAGCCTTTAGCTTCCTGATCACTGTCCTTGCCTGAATGTCTTTGAGATAATCCACCTCCCAAAAATTGGAATAGTAGTCCACAGTGACCATATAGTTTCTGTCATTGACATTGAACAGGTCAATCTCTACCTTCTCCCAGAGTCGAGAGGGGTTGTCATGAGGGTTCAATGTCTCTTTTTGCTGTTTGTCACAGTATTCCTTGCACACCTCACACTGTTCCATGTATGTTCTCAAATGGGCATTCATGCCTGGCCAGCAGATGCACTCCCATGCTCTCCTCAGGCATGACTCTATTCCCATACGTGAAGCATGGAGTCTGTTCATGATGTCTCACCACAGAGCTGCTGGGATCACTACCCTGTCTCCCTTGAACAGAATTCCATCCTGTGTACATAGTTCATCCCTCTATTGGTAGTATGTGGCAACTTCTGGTGGTACTTGTGCCTTGTGCTGTGGCCAACCCTCTAGAATGGTTTGTTTAACTGCTTGTAGCACACCATCCTGTTCTGTACTCTGTTGTATTGCTTTGAGACTGCTTTTGGAGATGGGTAAGTCTTGTACCATATCAACGGA